TGATCTCTCCTGAGAAATGACTTTGAGGAGGAGCCATTGTCCTGACTAGAACTGTCTTCTCCAGTGGTGGGATTCAATTTTTTTTTACTACCAGTTCTGTGGTGGACGTGGTTTGGGTGGTGTGGCTAGATGGGTATAGCTTGGTGGATGTGGCAGGGGAAGGTTACTGCAAAATCCATTCCTCCCCACCCCACTAACCAGTTTTCCAGCTCTGTTCTCCTGTGCAGGGCCACAAAACAAGACCCAGCCGATCAGCTGGGACTCGGGAAGAGGAGAATAGATGAGGGGTGTCAGAGGTGGTTTTTGTCGATTCTCTGAACTACTCAAAATTTCAGCTACTGGTTCTGCAGAACTGGTCAGAATCTGCTGAATACCACCTCTGGTCTTCCCTGAATGTGCTTTGGAACACATATTTCTATTCAAACAACTGCAGGTGCTCAGCATGACAAAGTCTGTCAATCTCATCTTGATCTGTTCTTCTCACAGCTAAGGTGCAACAGGAAATTGATGAGGTGGTGGGTACAAATCGCATTCCAAGCATGGAAGACCGATTGAAGATGCCTTTCACAAATGCTGTTGTTCATGAAGTTCAGCGATATCAGAAAGGGTCTCTTGAGACCTTTCCACGGGCAACAACTTGTGAGACAAAGTTCCATGGTTACACCATTCCCAAGGTATGATGATACTATTATTTATGAAGGTTCTCTAGAGAAAGAAGGAAAGAACAACTTAGATCCTTGATATGCAAGGTAGTTTGAATAAAAGAGCAATTTAGAGAAATATGTATTGAAAGAAATATCTATTCCTTTCTCCTCATTCTTCATGGTTCACTGCCTGTCTTTATTTTAGGCAAGTGGAAAGCAAAGGCACTTTCTTCTCCATATGAAATAATATGATCTAATGACATCTGTTTCTTTTTCTCCTTCTAGTCCATGCCTATTGTGCCAGTCTTCGCCTCTGTACATTTTGACCCTCTTCATTGGGAGACTCCAGAAAAGTTCAATCCCAATCATTTTTTGGATGAAAATGGCCAGTTCAGGAAAAAGGATGCTTTCATGCCATTCTCAGCAGGTACAGGTCTCTGGTACAGATTGTATTACTAATTCGTATGCTTACCTGATCCACGTTAGTCTTTTATCAGAGACAATTCCAGCAAGTACTTCCTAAATAACCTCTGTTTCTTCATTTCTATCGCAGGGAAGAGAGCCTGTCCAGGGGAGGCCCTGGCTAGGATGGAGCTCTTCCTGTTCTTCAGTGCTCTGCTCCAGAATTTCACTTTCTCTCTGGTTGGGGACACCAAAGATACGGATTTAAGGTCTCTGTATACGGACTTCAGAAATAATCAATACCCCCTTATACAAGCTGCTAAACGTTCAGTGGACACTTGAGGTCAATAATTAGGAGAAAGTGCCTACATTAATAGTTACTGAAATAAAGCATGTGGGATGACTATTACATTTAAAGGCAATCTTAACAATGATGTGGAATAGATATATATTAATTTTTATAGCAAAGATAGCTACTTTGATCTCTTATCTCATTACATATTTTGGCACAATTAACAATACTTCTGAAACACTTAATAGCTTTTTTTTCTAAGCTATATTCAGAAAGCTTTCAATATATAATCTGTACTGGAGATTTAACCATACAATTAGACATATCACAAATTGATGTTGTGGACTAATCTTTATTTGAAGGAAACAAGGAAGATCTTGTATTAGTACACTTTGGCTAAATGCAAGATCAAGTCATGTTTAAATCTGATGATATCTAACGGTTGCTTTAAAAACTGACAGACTATTGTATATGATTGAACTATAATATTTGCTATATCTAATCTCTGATAGATAACTTTATTGTTGTGGATAATAAAGAATTAGAACATATAATTCCAGAAAATCAATGGTTCCAGGTTTACAAAATGCAAAAAATACATCTTAGAATTTCAAAATGGAAGCCATTCCTCAGAAAATTTTGTTTCACATTTACTGGATTCCTCAAAGGGCTCTTGTTCTTTTTTTGGTCCACTAGTAATAAAATTGATCCAAGGAGATTCTGCCTACAAAATGGAATTAATCAACAACCCAGTTACATGAATCTTACACAGATATATTATGCAGAATGCCCTCAAGGATGTCCTTGTTGTGATTATGGAATTTGATTATGGTCAAAATCTTTTTGGTGACCAAATATAACAAATACCCTTTAAAAATATTTCAAATTCAATTTGATTCTTTGATCTCCCTTTATTCTTTTCTGCTAGCTTTTTAGAGTTTGAAATTATTTGAATTAAAGCAGGTTGTCCTCAAATTAGAGACCAACTGCCTGAAGCCCATATATTGAATGTTTGAGGGTCTCCACTTCTTCTCTCAGAACCCTCAGTTTACCTACCATACCATCACACATCTGCTTTGGTGTAGATAGTAACTGGTCTGTTGTGATCCTCTCTACATTCTCTGATACAGAAGGTGAAGAAGATGAAATGTTCTGTTGATCTGAGGAGCTGGCCAGCAATTAAACATTTGAGATTGTTCCAGATGACAATGAGCAGAACAATGTGTGTTTTTGTGTGTGTGCATATGTGTGTGCAGGCATGCGTATGTGCGTATGTGTGTGTGTATGTAACTCAGATCATGAGGGGGCAGATTATGGTGGGCACATAGCTCAAGAACCATGCCAACAGTGACTCAGGATAGAGCAAAGATGATCAGCATATCTGCTCAAAACGAAAAAACACCAATGCCCCTAATTTAGCCATACCAGCATCAGTGGGGTATCAAACTGATATTTCCTGGTCTTTAGATTTCTATTGGAAAACAAATATCTGACCCCAGATCTGCCTAGCTTTGTTGCTCTTGTTCCTTATCTAGCATTTGGGTCCCAGTTCCCAGCATTCCTTTGCAGAGGTGGGTGTGGCTGGGAGGCTAGATCAATGTAAGAAAATATAAATTAAAAACAATTTTACAGAAATCCCAATTTATGTTTTAAAAATAGATAAAAAAGATGAGTATTCCCTGACAGAGAATCTTTTGCCATGTTCTTCCTGGACAAATATACATTTTACACCATATATGCATTTTTTTTAGTAATTCACATGCATACTGTGTACATGTATACGGTTTTTCTACATGGCAGAAGGCTTTCTTTGCCCTCTATGTCATGTCAGGAAGAAGAGGCAGCCAAAATGGCTGCCACACAACCAGAGACAGCTTCAACCTAAGAAAAGTGGTGGAGCAAAGCTGGTGAACAGTGTTTGGAACTGGGTGAGATGAATCCTTTATATTTAAAGTGCAACCCCAAGAAAACAAAGATTCAGAAAAAGAGTGACTCAGAACTATCTTTAAAGTGGCAGTCTATCTCAGCACAGTGAGTAAAATTTCTAGATTTTTAAAATGAAAGGAAAAGGGGAAAAAAAGAAAATTTGTTAGAAATACAGAAAACCTGGCTTTTTAATTGGACAAATGTTGGCTGTGGATTGGTATTGTAAATTGTTGGAACCACCTATATAAAAAGTTGGTCTTATATTTGCATTTTGGAGAAAATGAGTAAAATCGAATAAGAAATAAGAAAAATAAAGTGAAAACTGATGCAAGATCACCACCTCTTGTCAAAGGAAGGCACAATATATTCCCAAAATTTTGATAAAGGCTTGGCTTTGGAAGACTCCAAGGGAAGAATAAGGAAAACTTTACCATTAAAAAGACCCCTGAAAGTTTCAATATAGACTGTGAGAGGGACCTTGGAGTCTTAGTGGACAACCAGCTAAATATGAGCTAACAGTATGCGGTGGCAGCCAAAAAGCCAATGCAATCCTAAATTGCATTAACAGAGGGATTCAATCAAGATCAAGTGAGGTACCAATACAATTCTATAAAGCCTTAGTAAGACCACACCTAGAATATTGCATCCAGTTTTGGTCACCACACTATAAAAAAAGATGTTGAGATTCTAGAAAGAATGGAGAGAAGAGCAACCAAGATGATTAGGGGACTGGAAACATACAATGAATGGTTGCAGGAACTGGGCATGGCTAGTCGAGTGAAGAGAAGGACCAGGGGAGACATGATAGCAGTGTTCCAATATTTTTTTGCATACATTTTTTTATTTTTATTGTTTGAACATCTCTTTAAGTGAACAATGTGATTCCAGGCTGTAGCATACATACATAATCATAATTACATTTTCAACTTTCTTATCCAGTTTCATATCATATCATTACCTACTCCATTTTTCTTTTAATATGTTTTCACTTCATGTTGTTTCATTCATCATTTCCAGAAAAAAGAACCAATTACCTCCTAAGATACATTATCCAATATTTATCCCCTTTATTGTCAATTCAATCTTGCCTATTTTTATTTTATGTATTCTCCCCATTTTACTCTCTTAAACCCAATGTATAACAAATAAAATAAAAAACTAATATCAATATAGCTAGTATCAATTTTTAGTCAGTACCTCCTGTATTTAATAATAATGATCTTCTATTTACTATTATATATGCATATGTTTCTTCCCCCCCAAATCAGGTTTCACATGGTATTCTTTCCATATTACAGAATAAATCTAATATTTATTCCAAAAACATTCATATAACCATTTCATATTTCACATTTTGTTTCCAATTAACCAATTACAGATATGAGTAACAATATTACACTTTGATTTCCATACACTATTTTCTTTTTCTTTATGACCTTACTAATTATGCTACAACAATCTCATTTTAAATTGTTATTTAACAATATGATCATTTTAATTTCCATACTCTTTGTTCTTCCAATAATATTTAT